CACCTTTCATCCACCCTTGTGAATATGAACAGATACCTGCATAATGATCATTCGAGAGCTGCATCACAGCATTGGATTCCAGGACGCTTTAAAGAATGGCTAATGGTCACAACGGCACTAATAAATGTAATGATACAGTGGCCACTGCTTTAGTCGTCCCAGTGTTTGGGTGACCAGCCTGGGATGTCTAGGGCCTCATTTTCAGGAATTAAACCAGCACAATTTCCCTTAGCTTCAGCTGGAGCTGTGGCCGTGCGACACATCTGCAAATTGGCCTTCAGCTTCAGCAGCAGGGTCAAATAAGAATGTGAAAGTATAAAACCTGGTACCAGCCTTGAAAGCCTGAACCAGCCTCAAAAGCCTGCACCTGTGCCTCTATGCCATTTCACTCTCCACAAAACCCAAACCCAAACCTGAACCATCCGCAGGGCGGGTGTCACGTTTTACAGGGTGTAAGAGCATTACACAGAAGTTCAAAACAGGAAGAGAAGATGAACCTCACACCGAACGACAACTACAAGGAATATTTAGGGAGGTCAAAATGAGGCTAAATTGGAGCTGGCTGGGATAATGGCCCTATTCTTGTCTATGTGCTGCAGGCTTTTAATGAGGTGTAGTAATTAGGGCCAGGGTTCTTACAGTTCAGTCTTGCTTATAAAACATCCCTGTAGAGAAACACACAGCTCCTGGTGTGTAGGGGCTGCGGGCAACACTCCACTGTCTTTCTCACATGGGCCTTTTTGGTATCGGGGCACGGGAGGCAGCGTTTGATATGTGCTGGGGGGCAGGTGCTACCCTGGGTGGCTGTTCAGCCCAGAAAGAGCTTTTCTGGCTGCTGAGAAGGTTTTATGTTGCTTTTTACTGGTTCTTATGATGATTCAGTGCCTCTGTAAAATGCTCGTGCTCAGTGCTCACTGGCTCCATTGTTGCCCAAACCAGGTGTATCGGGGCGCTGCTGCCCATCCCTCCTACCCTGAGATGTTCTGGCAAACAGTGGGACAAGGTCCATGTGCCGAGATAGTGCTGTGACAGACTTGCAGAGCCCCAAAAGCTCCTCAGAGCTGCCACTCGGGCACAGACTTACACGAGGTCACGGATGAAGTCTTTGGTGATGAGACGGGTGGTCTTGGGCTTGTGCCTGCCAGAGGGTGACGCTTTTGGGGCAGTCTGCACATCCTGAAGGATCACAACAGGGCTGCCGGAGCACGACTGCTGCAGGTTCTGCAAGAAAGGATGATGTTTACTCTGGCTTTCCTGCCACTGGCCCGCACACAGCTCTCTGCCCCCCGCTCCTGGGCACAGAGGTGCTCTGGGCACGAGAGGCCGCAAGGTTCCCCTGAGCTCTGATGAACACCCTCTCACACTGGCAAGACCAGTGACGTCTGGGCATGAGAAGGGTGTTTTGCCTCAGCAGCCCCAGCTCCGAAGGCCTGATGAGGACATGGGGAGAACCAAAAATACCCCTATGGCACTGGTTTTACTATAAAAGTCTGGGCGTTAGTCTCTCACCCGAATCTGAAGTAAACGATGAGCTGGTAGCTGCTTGCTCAGGGCAAGACCTCACAAATGCTCAAGCATCATCTCGGCTACCTTGAGCTGATGGCGGCTGCCCACTGCCCCACTCCTCACCGTGGCCACCGGCACCTCTGTCCTGCTGAGCCCCACGGCCTCAGGAAAAACTGGGTGGAAACCAGCCCAGACTGACCCAAACTGGCTAGGAGCTGGCAGGGGGGTCCTGGGGAGGGAGAAGCGGGGACAGCTCGAGGTCTGGCCTTGCAGGGCAACCAAACGGCAGGCAGCCCTGGGCGGAAACCGGTCCTCCCAGTCCAGCCCGGACCGGTGCTGGTCCCTTCGCTCGAGTCGAGACTGCCACCTAGTGAAGCGTCACCCGGCTGCGGGGTGACTCGGGGACCCCGCTCCGCACTCCCCAGGCAGGGTGGGCGCTGGGTGCCCCCGGAGGGGCGGCAGAAGCCGAGGGGTGTCCCGAGCACTCGTGGGGCCGCCCCACGGGAAGCTCCGATCAGGCCGCAGGGTCTCCAATGGGCAGGAACAGGCTCTTCGTCCAGCCCGGGGTGAAGCCCCCCCGGGCTGCCGACAATCCCACGGGAAGGAGGATTTCAGAGCAGGCACTGGTCTGCAGAGCAAACCTCCAGCAGCCGAGTGGGATGGTCCCTGGCCAGGAGACCCGAGCCCAGCAGGGCAGGTTCGACTTCCCAAGGCCAGGGTCACTTCCCCGAGCCCAACCACAGCGTATGCGTCCCAGCGAGATACTTGCCCAGGTCAGGGAACCACAAGAGCTAATCTAAGGTACACACAGATGTGTGGTTTCCCCTGGACTTCTATATACTAGTTCAGCTTTAAAATCCTAAGCAACTGCTGGAACAAATCCTACAGCCAGCCGGGCAATGAGCAGTTCCCTGGGAACTTGCTGGCAATATTTCCATTTTACAGGTCTGCAATATTTCCACTTTACAGGTCTGATGGCCCCAAACCACGGGCTCTCCCGCAGTCCAGCATGGCAGGTACCAGAGCAGCTTCCCAGCCACCGGGTGCTCCAGTGGGAGCTGTTGAATTAAAGGGTTTGGCACTAAAACACCCGTGCAAACAAAGACAATAGTGTTATTCACTGCAGCCAGCCCGCACATTGTCCCCATAGCCAGAACTCCTTGGACTAGACCTGGATTAATCTCAGGGAATTCAATTATCACCCATAGGAGCGTTACAACATTTTTATCTAACTGCCTTGAAGGCTTCTGAGATAACAGATCATAAACCTGCCTGGGGCTCCTCGGCTTGTAGGGTGTCCGAGGCACACAGACCCGGCAGCCTCGGAGCAGGTTGCTTGCCGGGAGCGTTCCCAACCTCCTGCCTCACGAGGCAAACCATCCATACAGCCTCCAGTTGGGAGCGGAGGCAATCTTCATTACACTCTTCCTTCCTCTCCTCTGAAAAGCCAATGGGTTTTGGCAAGTCTTTTTGGACAGATTTGTTTCAAACAATAAGACCCAGGAGAGGAAATTACAGCCACAAACACACACCCCCATGGAGGGACAAGTGCCTCAAACACAACGTGGTCCCCTCATGGTAGCCAGCCGCCTGCTGCAGCCCCAGTGGAGATGCCTCCAATGTTTTAACAGCTGAAGAGATGGCAAGCGTGAGATGGGCCAAACTCCAGTGGCATCCAGCCTGGCCCTTGTACCTCGATCTGTGTCAAAGACGACGCAAAGTGTGGGGTGAGCCAACGGCTGCAGCCATAAACCCAACCTGCCATGGGGAGAGCACCTGGGAGAGTTGATAAAGGAGGTGGGGGAAGTAGTAGTGGGAGGAGGACATCCAAAGCATCACCCTTGCCTGGAAAATGCCATCATCCATCTCGGTGACAGTGGCTGCAGCTCTCCCCTGGGCTCTCCTGCAGGAGCCAGGGACAGCTGAGGGACGAGCGTGGAGGAAGGCAGCCTTTTCCTTACAAGACTGGAGAGGAAAGAGCTGTTGCTCTCTGTTTATCTCCTCTCTCAATGGCCAGGGCATCCGGCCAGGAGGTCAGAGACCTGCTGCAATTCTGCCTCGTCTCCAAGGGGACCGATTTCGTAGCTCCCTGATGAAAGTCTAAATATGTTGGCAACAAGCTGCTCTGGAAGCTTCCAGCCCCTGCTCCAAGGACTGTCTCTATATCCCACATGAAATAACCACTATCTAACGTACAAACCTGGTAATGCCAGCTCCTCCCCTTTACCAGGGTGTCTAACCTCCTGAGCCTCCTTTATCTCACTAATTAACTAATTACCCTGTGAAAAGTAGAAGTGCGCATCAAGGAGGACAGAGGCACACGCAGTCCCTGGTCTGGTCTGGTGCCTTGGCACACTCCCAGGAGGCAGGGGTGGATTTTGAGCTCTCCCAGAAGGAATTGAACACTGGGCTCCCACAGCAGGCAAGGCATTAAGAGCGCAGAGGTGGCAGGGCCCGGGGAGGGCTGGTGAAGGGTGCGACAGCGTCCCTCACCCGGGAGGTTTGGAAAACAGGGACTGTGGAGGCAACATGGTGGAGAAGAGCCTCTGGTGAGCGAGCCGGGGTGAGCAGGGCGGGATGAGGGCCGGCAGATGAGGTGGGAGGGGCTGAGGCACCGAGCGCTCCCTGCCCGGAGGGTGCCCGAGCCGGGCTGAGGACCCCGGGCAGGACCCCAGCACCACGGTGCCCCGGGCGGAATGGGGCCGGCTCTGGCCTGGTGAGGTCCCGGCCACACCCACCCCTCCGTGGCACTGCCCGGTGCAGAGGGGTCGGGCAGCCGGTGGTGCCCCCCGGTATCCCGGCCCCCTTACCCGGCTCTCCCCGAACAGCAGCTCATCCACCGCGGTGCTCCGGGCCCTCCTCCTGTATCGGCTGCGGGGCTGGCTGGGGGCACGGCCGGGGGGTGCGGGGACGCTGGTGGGCTGCGGGGGGACAAGGGCCGTGAACGGGCTGCGGCGGGGGGGACAGACCCGGAGAGGGGGGACCGGGCCCGGCGCACCGGCACGGGCCGCGCTCACCATCCTGCTCCGCTCGGCAGCCGCTGACCGTCGCCATGGCAACGCGCCCCCTCCCCCGGCAACCGCCGCGTGGGCGGGGCGTTCCCGAGGGGGCGCACGGGGG